CTTTTGAATTTGACTCATGCACCTCATATGTTCCTTCACATTGTATGTGCTAGCTGCCTTCCAAAACCATTTTCTCAACTCTAGATCCCTCCACTTCTGCTTAAAGTTAATGTACATGTGCTTCAAGCAATATCTATGCTCTGCCCCCTCAATCTCACTCACTGCTTCAAGCAAACCCTTTTGTCTATCTGAGACAAAGGTCTATTTCTTCTCCTTGTAAGGGTCTACATCTCTCATTAGCCTTTCCAGGAACCACCTCCAAGAATCTGTCTTCTCAACCTCCACATATGCCATTGCAATTGATAGCATATTGTCATTTCCATCCCTACCAATTGCTGAAAGAAGTTGACCACAATGAAGAGTCTTCAGAAAGCATCCATCCAGTCCAATAATTGGCCTGCAGCCAGATAAGAATGCTTGTCTCATTGCAGCCAAGCAGACATACATCCTCATGAACTTTGGAGGTGAAAAATCTTTGTTCACCTTGAGGATAAGAGAACTACCAGGATTGTACATGGCTACTGTGGAGCAGTAGTCATACAGCCTTTTATACTGCTCCCCATGGTCAACCTTCAAAAGTGAAAGAGCATACACTTTGGCCTTGTATGTCTTGTGCATACTAACCTCAACCCCACAATGTCTCTTAATCTTGTTTTTCAGACTTGTCAAAGTCTCACCAGGATTGTCCTTCAAAGTATCCACCATCCTTCTTCCTAGATACTTGTAGTCTGCTTGAGTGTTCTCTGTCTTGTAAGCACAAGTGTGTTTGCCTTTCAATGTCTTGATCTGAAATGTTGACAAACCTCCAATAACAGAGGCCCTCAAGGACCAGTCACACCCACTTTTACAGATTGCTGTGATTAGCTTTGCTTCATTCTTTGGGAACTTCAAATCATAGCCCTTTCTAACTGACCAATCTCTGATCACCTTTTTGAATGTTGCTCTGCATGGAAATTTTTGACCAACCTTCAGCTCAAACCTTGACATATCAGCACCCTCTTTCCATTCATCAGGCTCTTCAAGGCAATTATCATCATCGTCAGGTGGACTGTACCAACCTGCACATAAGAAACATGAATTCAGGGTCAAAACAGATAAATATTAAGTCAGGAACCAAAAAAAAAATGCACAAAGCATAAACCAACCTTCCTCTGTATGTGTTCTAAACCTTCAGCTTCTTTTCTTGCTTTTTTTTCTGCTTTCTTCTTTGTTTCAGTCATTCTCTTGCCCTCTTGTGTACCTTCTTAGCATGATCATGTGCCCTCTATTGGAATATATCATCATCATCAGGGCCTTCAAGATCCTCCAATTCCCACTCAGATAAATCTGAGGATTCACCAATGTCTTCTTGTGGCTCATACTCTGAATCTTCAGAATCATCTGATTTTCTAAATAGTTGTTCTGCCACTCCAGATGCAAAATGATCATCTTCATGGCCAGCACCAGGTGTTTGGGATTGTCCTTCATCATGTGAAAAGGTGCTCCTTACACCAGTAGTAGGTGTCTCTTCACCATCATGTGCATCAGCCCCAGAACCAACACCATCATCTGATTCAGCCCCTAAACCATCACCATCATCTGCATTAGCCCCAGCAGTAGGTGTCTCTTCACCAGTACCAGCACCACCCACCAACACCATCATCAAAACCAGCACCATCATCTGTTTGATCACAAGTAGCAGCCCAAACACCATCATCTGTTTGATCACAAGTAGCAGCCCCAACACCATCATCTGTTTGATCACAAGTAGCAGCCCCAACACCATCATCTGTTTGATCACAAGTAGCAGCCCCATCACCATCATCTGTTTGATCACAAGTAGCAACCCCATCACCATCATCTGTTTGATCACAAGTAGCAGCCCCATCACCATCATCTTTTTCAACTTCTTGGTCCCAATACTGGTCTATGAGAATGTCCTCCTCAGTGTATGGATATTCAAGAAGGGGGACCTCTTCTTGTGAAGATAACACACTGCCATCTTGGTCCATCATCAGTACAGGGCCTTGCAAATCTTCAAAGTACAGAGGGATCACATCCTGCCCTTCATATTTCTTCACCAGCTTTAAAATGTCATTGTCACTGGAAATCTTCAACAACTTCTTTGTTGTTTTTAAATTATTGCCAGGCTTGTGAGAAAATATATCAACCGCGCTTGCTTTGCCCCCTGCCTTCTTATATACATCAAAAAGTTCAAACATGGATAACCTATCCATGTCATAGAAGTCAACTGCAACTCGATGGCCACCAAAGTAGTGCATAAATGGCAAAAACTTTATCTCTCCCCCAACTCTAACATCAAAAACAAAAGCCATCACCTGCAAAACTAATAATAGAATCAGGACAAAAAAAAAGCTATCATAGAATCAGGAACAAAATTCCCTAAACCCTAAAACTTATTATAATTCGAAAATGCCCTAATTTGCAAATGCCCTAATTTAACTAAATCCGATTTCTGTAAAATGTATTCACAAACAACAAACCAATACTGAGCCTCAACAAATTGAAACCCTAATTTCATAAAATTTAACCCTAATTTGAATAGAATCACCCTAATATAAAAAATGCACAAAATCTGCCTAATCTCAACAAATTGAAACCCTAAATTCGAAAATGCACAAAATACTGAAACCCTAATTTCAAAAATAAAAAATTTAAGACCAATTTCAACTCTAATCTACACCAATCTCAGATCTACCAAACAAATAACAACCAATTAGCAAAATCCCTATCGAAATTCAATGAAGGTTTGGAAAAATTACCTTATATTTCTTCAAGAAAAAACGCGTGCGTAATTATATTTCTTCAAGCAAAAATCCTAGGTAGTCGAATTTCAGCCCTAAGCGAGCATGTTTCTGAGGTTTGGATTGCGAAGAATAGGCTAAGAATTATTTTGAGGTTTGGATTTCTGAGGTTTGGTTTGCGAAAAATTTTGAGGTTTGGATTTCTGAGTTCGATCGCGAAGAGAGAGAGAGAGAGAAAAAATTTCTGAGTGTAATTTCGTTTTGAAGAGAGAGAGAGAGAGAGATTTTTTTAGACTTACTCATGTAATTGTTTGTTTCTGATGGCATAACGGGAAGTTAAGCCAAAAATTAACGGGGTTAACACGGAAACGAGGAGGGGGGAGCGTGCGCAATCAAAAGTATAATACAAGGGGGTATGGCGCATTTTTTAAAATACAGAGGGATAAGACGCAGATTTCGTATAATACAGGGGGGTTTGGCGCAATTTACCCTTTCGTAAAAGGAGGGACGGTAACTAGTAAAAGGGGGTAAATAGCGATTCACAATTAAATCATGTACCATGATACTATGATGTGTATAGTATATATATATATACACATAATTTTTTAACAAATAATATGTGCTTTATAATAATAATAATAATAATAATTTTACAAGATTTTAAACGTAAAATCTGGTTTTTA